ATAATCGCACACGGGGAGCGGCTCATGGACCCAGTAAGCCGCGGAATCGCCAAATGTCACAACCCGGCTCACCCAGGGCTGGACCTAGTCCCCTATCCCATCGCGACTGCACTCACCGTCTCTTTACATACCTAAAAGGCAAACAATAACAACCACCAGTCCACACTCGGGCCCACAGACTGATTCTCTCCCTGTAGCAGCAGCTCTGTAGTTGCGCAATGCATCCTAAAGGTGTGTCAAACGCAAAAAAGGCCCCCTTCGCGCCCGGTGCCGGTGGCTCTACTTCTCTCCCGGGAGAGAAAAGCTACTGGGGGTTTGTTGTTTGGAAAACATGAATTTAAACACCAGCATGGAATGGCGTTACATCAAAAGCACGGCTCTACTGATACCACAATGCTAAGAGAGGGGACAGAGACACAAAACACTTAAAGAGGTTGTTGCATCGCGACCGGTCCATCGTATACGGTTCGGCGAGAGAACTCGCCTCTCTCCAGCCGTGTGGGTGCCTGCACGAGGCGCTCGGCGGAGCCCGGGCTCTGGCTCCGCGCGCCCGCGCGGCAGCGGCGGCGGGGCGGGGCGGGGAGACGGCCTGTTCTCCCCCCGCCCCCCCCTTCCCTACGCTACGCAGCGGCGGCGCCGCTACAAGCCCTCGATCTTGTCGTCCACCTCGGCGTACAGCTGGCGCAGGCGGTCGAGGTTCTCCTCGGACGTCTCCCAGTAGCCGCGGCCGTTGGCCTCGAGGAAGGTCGTCACCATGTCGCGGAAGGCGTTCGGGTTGGTCTCGAGCAGCCGCTTCTGCATCTCCTCGTCGGCGATGAAGACGTCGTTCGCGTCCTCGTAGACAAAGTTGTCGACGGCGCCCGCGGTGGCGGACCAGCCCATCGTGTTGCGCAGGCGCTTGGTGATCTCGCGCGTGCCCTCGTAGCCCGACTTAAGCATGCCCTCGTAAAACTTGGGGTTGAGCAGCTTGGTGCGCGCGTCGAGGCGGACCGTCTCCGAGAGCGTGCGCACCTGGCCGTTGGCGGTGGTCGTGTCGGCGACGAACGAGGACGGCTTCTTGCCGTCGGTGCGCAGCGAGCCGACCACCTTGGTCGGGTCCGAGTCGAAGTAGTGCGAGACGTCCGTCAGCGAGATCTCGGACGAGTCGAGGTTCTGGAAGGTGACGTCAACCTTCTTGAGGCTCGACTTGAACATGTCCGCCTTGTCGTCGAGGATGCCCGGCCGGTCGGCGTTGAAGGCGAAGCCCTTGCGCGAGGTGAACTGCTCCTGCAGCTGCTGCTCGCCCTCCCAGCCGCCATTCTCGATGGCGAGCCCCACGTTGGCCGAGTAGGAGCCGGCCGCGTTGGAGAAGACGCGCGTCGCCGCGTCGCGCACAGAGACGCCAAACTCCTCCGCCTGCTCGAGCGCGTGCTTGCGCACGAAGTTCTGGTCGAGCGGCTCGTCCAGCTCGGCCACCAGCTTGACCGCGCGGTCGAGCAGGTTCATCTGGTTGATGAAGAGGTCGCGGAAGACGCCGGAGCACGTCACGACGACGTCCACGCGCGGCCGGCCGAGCTCCTCGAGCGGGATGGCCTCGATCTGGTTGACGCGGCCGAGGGAGTCGGGCAGCGGGCGCACGCCGACCATCCACAGCACCTGCGCCAGCGACTCGCCGTACGTCTTGATGTTGTCCGTGCCCCAGAGCACAAAGGCGATCGACTCGGGGTACTCTCCCTCCTCGGCAACCTGCCGCTCGAGCAGCCGGTCCACCATCACCTTGGCGCAGTCGCAGGCGGCGATGGTGGGGATGGCCTGCGGGTCGAGCGCGTGCATGTTCTTGCCCGTCGGCAGCACGAGCGGGTTGCGGATCGGGTCGCCGCCCGGGCCCGGCAGCGTGTACTCGCCGTTCAGGCCCTCGATGAGGGCGCCCATCTCGTTGTCCGCGACCACCTGCTTGAGGCAGAACTCGAGGTAGCCGAAGAGCTTCTCGAGGTCTGGGTCCTGCACCTTGTCGAAGCCCTGCTTCTTGAGCGCGGACAGCATCGGCGAGCCGCCGCCCAGCACCGCGCCGAGCGACGCCATCATCGGGTTCACCTCGGTCACGCGGCCAGCCGCGTCGGTCGAGCGCTCGACCGAAGCGCGCACGGCGGCGCGGATGGCCTCCTTGATGTTCTCGCTGAGGAGGTTGTCGTCGAGGTTGCCGGCGTTGGCGGAGCGGTAGATGTCCTCGATGTCGCGCCCGACCGACCGCGCGAGGATGCGCGGCAGGCCGTCGATCTCGTCCTCGGGCCGGTCGATGGAGGCGATGTTGACGAGCGTCGCGATCGCCTCCTCGGCGGTGGGCGGCACGCCGACGGTGTGTAGGCCGCACGGCAGCAGGCGCGACTCGATCTCCATGATCTTGGAGTACACCTTGCCGACGATGATGTCGCGCTCGTCGAGGGTGAGCTCCGCCGTGTCAAAGTCCTCCGACGGCAGGTCGACGTCCTTGTCGAGGTTGCACGTCCGCGCGGTGGCGACGATCGAGTTGACGATCGAGGCGCCGCGGCTCTCGCGCAGGCCCTGGTAGGAGGAGATGAGCTCGCCCACCTCCTTGAGGCCCTTGTAGAGGCCCGCGTTCTCGGCCGGCGGCGTCAGGTACGAGATTGTGTTGGCGTACGAGCGCCGCTTGGCGATGGTGGCCTCGGACGGGTTGTTGGCCGCGTAGTAGTAGAGGTTGGGCGTCGACTGGATGAGGCGGTCGGGGTAGCAGCCGCCCGACATGCCGACCTGCTTGCCGGGCATGAACTCGAGCGAGCCGTGCGTGCCAAAGTGCAGCACCGCGTCCGCCTCCAGCACCTTCTCGATGTAGGTGTAGTAGGCGGCAAAGCCGTGGTGCGGCGAGGCCGACTTGGCGTACAGCAGCCGCATCGGGTCGCCCTCGTACCCAAACGAGGGCTGGACGCCGATGAAGACGTTGCCGAAGCGGACGCCGTACACGAGCAGGTTCTGGCCGTCCGTGTTGAGCTGGCCCGGGGGCGGGCCCCAGTTCTCCTCGAGGTCCTCTGCGTACGGCGTCAGCTCCTTGTACTCGGCGACCGACATGGAGTATGCGACGTTGAGCGTCGGCGACGCCATAGACGCCTCCTTGTCGTGGAGGACAGCGTCGACGAGCCCCTCGACGTCGGTGGGGAGCTCGGCGCCGAGGTCGTACCCCTCCGCCTTCATCGTCTTGAGCGCCTCGAAGATGGAACCGAACACGTTCAGGTACGCGGCGGTGCCGACGTTGCCTTTGTCGGGCGGGAACGAGAAGACGGTGATGGCCACCTTCTTGTCGGCGTTCTTCTTGGCCGAGAGGTTGGACCACTTGATCGCGCGCTTGGCGAGCGTCTCGATGCGGTCCGACTGCGGGATCGAGCGGCCCGTGACGCCGTCGCGGCCCGCGAAGATGATGGGCTCGATGGCGCCGTCGAGCTCGGGCAGCGCAACCTGCAGCGCAACCTGCACCGGGTGCAGGCCGAGCTCCGAGTCCTTCCACTCCTCGAAGGTCTGGAAGGTGGCGGGGACGGCGCAGAGGTACGGCCGGTTCAGCTTCTTGAGCGTCGCGATGGCCTTGGGGTGGTCCTGCGTCGCCGGCCCGCCGACGAGCGCGAAGCCGGTCAGGTTGATCGTCGTGTCGACGACAGAGCGGCCGTTGAGGAAGAAGTAGTCCTCGATCGGCTTGGAGAAGTCGAGCGAGCCGGTGTAGATGGGCAGCACGAGGCCGCCGTTGGCCTCGATCTCCATGATGAGCGCGACGTAGTGCGCGTCGTCCTTGGTGTTGATGTGCGACTTTTGCAGCACGACGCCGATCACGGGCGCCTTGTTCGGGTCGACGCCGATGGTCGGCGCGTGCTCGTTGCGCAGCCACTGGATGTACTCCTCGTTGGTCTCGAAGACGCGCGGCGCGACCGGGTGCCAGATGCCCTGGTCGGGGATGACGGTCGGCGGCTCCACCACCTCGCCGGTGAGCAGGTCGGACTCGAAGACGTATGTGCTCGCCAGGTTGAGCAGCAGCGCCTCGATGTTCTCGGGCGAGCCGCCGAGCCAGTACTGCAGCGACATCATGAAGGAGCGCGCGTCCTTGGCCTTGTCGCCGGGGAGGAACTTGAGCACCTTGGGCAGCGTGCGCACCAGCTTCAGCATGCCGTCCTGGAACGAGGTGCCGCTCGGCTTGTTCTTCTTCATGAAGTCCAGCATCACGTTCTTGGACTGGCCCATCGACGCCATCGTGAAGGAGCCAATCTTGTTGAGGCGCATCACCGCCGGCATCGACGGGAAAACGCAGACCGCGTCCATCGTCTCGCGGTACGGCTCGACGGCCTCCACCACCTTGTCGGCGAGCTCCTGCGGCGGGCGCGGCGCGAGGCGGCGCGTGAGGCGGGTGGCGGCGCGGCCTCGGAGGGCCGGCGGCGGCGGCGTCGTTTGGACCCGTGCGCGCGGGTGGCGTGCGCCTGCACAAAGATGAGCGAGCCGATGAAGATGTTGGCGTCGGCCACGTCCTTCTTGAACTGCTCAAAGTTGGCCGGGTCGCGCAGCTCCTCGAGGATGTAGCCCGAGCACTCGACGGCAACCTTCTCCTGCCCCGCGTTGATCCGCTTGCACGCCGTGCTGAGCGACGACTGGTACTGCGACTCGAGGACCACGTACACGACCTTGAAGATCTGACGGTCGCCCGGCTCGTCCGGCACCACCCTCCGGTCCTCCGGGTTGGACTGCGTGAAGAGCCCCCCTCCCATGCCGCCCGTCGCCACCATGGCGGCCGACGGCGCGCGCAGCGCACTGCAGGCAGCCGAGGGAGGTTGATGTGAGCCGCGCGTCGACGGAGGGAGAGGCGCCGGTGAATATTGGAGCGACGGCGCCGCGCGCTGGCAATGGCGCAGACTGGGCGACTAGCGCGCGGCGCGCGCGTGAGGGCTGGGCTGGCGGTGGCGCTGCGCAGGGAGATCAGGGCTCGCGGGGCTCACCGGCGCTGCTGCTGCTGCTGCTGCTGCTGCTGCTGCTCGAGCAGCGGCGCCAGGACCGACTCGAGGCCGGACGAGGCTGCTGAGCGCGACGCCACGGGCGTCAACGCGTGCTGCGAAAGTGCCGTGCCTGCAGCGGCAGAGCGGGCGGCGTCAGCGCGGGTGCGGCTGGGCTGTGCGAGGACTCGGTTTCCGGCAGGCTGGCGGTGGTGCAGCGTCCGCGCGCCAGGCGGCGGGCTGGGACCCAAGTGCGGGCTCGCGCGGGCGTGGCGAAGGGGAGATGCTGCATCAAATTGCGTTTTGCATCGCGGCGCACGCGCAGATGCGGCCTCGCCGGCCGCAGTGGTGGCGCGATGGCGCGTCTGTGCTGTGGTCGGGCTCGCGGCGCACCGGCGAAGCCGTTCGGCAGGCGCGTCACACCCGGCGAGAAGCCGAGAGCCGCCGTGAGCGTGGCAGCCAGCATCGAAGCTCCTGGAGAGCGAGCTCCAAATGAGCGGCGGCGAACACCTGGGTTCCCTCGTTCCACAGTGAACAACTCTTGATGAATCGAAACTTCGGGGAAGGCCCTTGGCGATCGCCGTCACAAATCTGGATGCCGGGGGGGCGACCGGTATCCGCCCGCGCGCTCCGCGGGATAAATCAGTTTGTCTGTGGGAGGGTGTGGGAGGGTGTGGGTGTATTGGGCGGGGGGGGGGGGGTCTCATAGATGGCGATCGAGTGGGGGACAGATAAAGGCCTTCTGCGTGAAAACGGAACTACGGAAGTCGTCGGCCCGACTCGTACGATTAGAGAGATTACGTCCGTCCCGAATCGCCAGATCGGCAAAACTTGTGGACTGAGGTTCTCGAAATGGCTGAGCTCGTGGAGTACGCGGCCGCCGGCCCGTCGTCATCGTCGCAGGAGCCCGAGCCGCTCAGGCCGCCAGCCAACCCCGACTCGGCAGCTGCGCCGGCGCGACGCTCTTCCAGGAGAAGCCGCAAATCAACACACGCCCCGGAAAATCCCAGAGGCCCACCGACACTGGCCATGTTTGCAGTGCTCACCGGTTGCGTCGCCGGTATGGTGATTGCGCTGGGGACCCTCTCGGATGAGCCCCCCGCGGCCGCGGCGCAGGGCGGCAGTCGAGCCGCCCGCCGGCACTACCGATCGCCACGCACCGCCGTGCTGCACACCTCGGCCGCCTCGGCGGTGCTGCCGCTGTGGCTCAGCCGAAACGGATCTCGTCGCGCTGTCCGGAACGGATCCACCGGGGGCGGCCTGTTGGGCGGCCTCAAGTGGCCGGGATTCAGGGGGCAACCCGCCTTGAGGCTGGCGCTAGGTCAGCGGGCCGTGCCCTGCAACTGCACAGCTGCCGCGGCTTGCCGTAGCAACTCGGCGGTCAGGTCACCCAGGTCGCCTCCTCCGCCGCTGAGCAGGAGGTCGCCTCCTCCGCCGTTGGTGAGGGTGCGCGTTGCGATGCGACGGATGGAGGCGTACCGCTCGTACACCGTCTGCGCTGAGGCGGCGTGCGGGGTCTGCAGCAACCCGCCAGCGCCGCCGGCGCCCGCAGCGCGGCAAAACTCCGGGCAGCCGCAAAATGTGAGCGCGGTGAAGAACCATGGTCACCACAAGCGGGATCTGAACTACACCCGTCGCCGTGTGTGACGCTCTCTCGCTCTCTCTCTCTCTTTCGTCGCCGAAGGGTCGACGACCGTTGTGTGCGGCAGTGCAGGTACCGATGGCGCGCGCATTGTCGTTCTGTGGCCATCTCTGTGTTCTACTTTTTTCTCTCCTATCCTAGCTACTCCGTCTCGCGCGTGATCGCAAAGCGCAGCACGCACGCGCTGAAGTCGAACGCTGCGATGTGTGTCTGATGTGTGTTCTGCGGCGCGGTCGAGCTGCCCCCCGGCCCCCGCGCTCGCGCTCCGTGGTCGTACGTGTGTGGATCTCGCGTGTAGAGCGAGCGGACGAGGAGCGCCGCCCACGCGCGGGCCGCCGCGGGGAAGAGCGAGTGGCTTGCCGGCAACCACGGCGCCGCCGCCCGCCGGATCAGCGCCGCCGCCTCGCCCTCGCCACCCACGGCACGGCGGCACGCTACAACAGCGTCGGCTCGCCCTCCGTGCAGGCTTGCGTCGCTGCGCAGCAGGGAGAGAGCGCGGGCGGCGGTGAGGGTCTCAAGGTGCGCGAGGGGCGTCCAGCCGCGGCTGGCGACCAGCCAGGCGGTGAGGTTGGCGTGGCCTTAACATGTAAAATTCTTTATAACAAGGTCTGTGGACTCGTACGTCCGCGCGGCGCAATCGCATAAATTGTGTGTGTATGCCGTCACCCGTCGGGCTTACGCGCCTCCGCACGCCGAGGGGATCCCGAGCCAGTTCGCAGGCCGACGCCAACGAAATCATCAGCAATCCCGCATCGCGTGACGCATCGCCGGCTACGGCGCGTGGCGCGTTGCTGACTCGACCCAGCTACTCGGACCCATCCTCGCCGGATGAGAGCGGCCTCTCCTCCAGCGCCGAAAGCGAGCCCCCAACGCCCGATGGTGAGGGAGAGGCGCCGTCATCGCTCTCATTCGCCATGGCCTAGTAGCACGCCTTCAGCTTCCATAACTCACTCGTCTCCCACCCGCTTTTGAGGTGCGCAAGCGGCGCGGAGTCTTTGGCCGCGCGCGCGACGTCGGCAAGTCCATTCGCAGCGTCAACTCGGCCGTGGCTGCCAAGGTGCCCTGCGCCGAGATCAGTCGCACTGCAAGCCCGGACCTGTCCGGCATGGCCCACAGGCATGTCGCGGCCCACGCCCCACCCGCCACCGCCGCCTGCCTCAGGTGGACCAGAAGCACGACGAGTTCCTAGACGCGCAGCTAAACAAGATCCTCACTAAGGTGAACACCGTTGCCAAGGAGAGCGCGACGACACCCTGTGCGCCTCCACCTCCCTCCCTCCCAACCGTGTGCTTTCTTTTTGTGCTCCGCCCGGCACACGGTCGCGCTTGACTCCTCGAGCTCGCCTGGCAGACATGCCTCGGCGCGTCACCCGGATGGTCGACTCGCTGGTGGACGCGGCCTGGGTGGAGGTGAGCGATGACCTCAAGGCGGGCATCATGGCCTCGTACGGGCGCTCCAACAAGGAATACCGCGAGCTGCGAATCAAGCAGTGGGCAAAGGCGCCGCCGTTTCGCTTCGACAATGTCTACTCCTGGCTGCGCGCCAAGGTGCTCTACTCGACTCAGCCGGCCGACGCGACGATCTGGAAGGTTACAGAGGACCCGGTGAACGCGTCAATCCTCGCGATCAAGCTCACGCCCTTTTTTGGCGTCAACGTGCTCATCTTCGCGCTCATCTACCACTTTATTGACCGGCGCGACGAGTACCAGCTCGTGCGCTTCATCCTCGCCTTCAAGGGGTTCCAGTTCCTGTCGGCGCTGTACATGGCGGTGCGCCACTCCATCAAGATGTTTGGCTGCCTGGAGGCCGTTGGGCTGGAGGAGAACTTTGCCGACTTGGACAGGCACTGCTCGCCGGTCAAGGCCAGCTGGTACTCGGGCTACCTCTACAGCCTCGAGATTCTGCGCATCGCGCTGCTGCACCACGCGGCGCACCTGCTCGCGAGTAACCACGCCTACGGCGGGTCAAACGAGATCAAGGCCCTGGAAGACGTGCGCATCGACATCGCCGATGGTAGCCTCGACGGTTTTGCAGATCGCGCCTCCGTAAAGATGATGGTGGAGGAGAAGACACGCGGGAGGGCGAGCCAAGACGACGACCCCGACGCCACGCACGCCAAGGAGCTCATCGACGATGAGGCTATCGCCCGCGCCACCGCCGCGGCGCGCGCAAAGTACGGGGCCGAGCCGCGGCGCGGCGGACGGCTGCCCGGCTTCATGAAGTACGACCAGTACGTCGTCGTGCTGCTGCTGCTCTTTGGCTTCTTCCACATCCTCAGCATGAAGTACGACCCGAGCGAGATGATGTTCTGGACGACGCTCTTCTACATGCGGATGGCGTACGGCCTCTCATCCCTCCCCTTCCTTATCTTCTCAGTGCCGCTGATCGGACCGGGCATGCACCACGCGCAAGCCACTGCATACGACCAGAGCGGCACGCTGGTGCCGCGACTGAGCTCCTCGCTGATGAAGAAGAAGAAGGCGCACGACGACCGCTTGAGAGCGGCCGTGCGCGAGCGCCGCATCCGCGAGAGACAGATCATCCGCTCGGCCGATCGGAAAAACAGGCTCCGTGACGCCAAGGCGGCGGGGCGGCAGCCGCGAGGCCGATCCCTCCGCAAGCCAAAAGCGGGGTACGCGCAGCTGTCAGACGTCGAGGCTGGCGGAGATGACGACGGAGCAAGGGCGGAGCTCGAACGGCGTGCGAGCGCGCGCGAGGACACGCAGCGCGGCCGACGAGCGCGTGCGCACGAGCACGTTGCAGCCTTCACCGAGGACGCGCGCATGCCTAGCGCCCTCAAGGAGGGCATTGAGGCGTGCTCGTACTGCCTGGAGGGCACCGCCGACGTGGTGTACGAGCTGGCGACGCCGATAGTAGGGGTGTTATGCCCGTGCGCCGAGGGGCTGCCGTGCCATCCCAAGGCGCGCTCGCTCATCGTCGCGGACGTGGGCGAGCTCGAGGCGCGCGGCACGGTCCACGTCACGCTGTTGCGCGGCGAGCACCTGCTGGCGGCGGACCGCGGTGGGACCTCGGACCCGTACGTCATCCTCGACCTCTCGTCGATCCAGCGCCGCTCCAGCACCGTCAAGAGGAGCATTGACCCCGTGTGGAACGAGACGTTCCAGTGGAACGGCGTGCTGCGCGACCTGCTCGACGATGGGCTTATCATTTCCGTCTTCGACCGGGATAAGCACTCGCGTGACGACAACATCGGCATGGCGCACGTCAGCTTCGATGCTCTGTTCGCCACGCGTGAGGCGAGCCTCTCTTGCGAGCTGTCGATCCAAGGCACCATCCACTTGGAGGTTAAGTGGCAGCGCGCGGCCGCAGAGGCCGAGGCCGCCCTCGCCGCCGGCCTCGCAGCCGCGCGCTCGGCGCCAGTTGACCCAGCGGCACTCTCCGGGCGTGGGGTGGTGGTTGTGCGGCTCTTCTCCGCGGAGGGTCTCCGATCCGCAGACAGCAACGGCTTCTCCGACCCCTACGTGCGGCTTAGTCTCGCAGGGCGCAAGGAGACGTCGGAAACGCGCTACGAGACGCTGGACCCGATCTGGGACGAGACGTTTTATTTCCCGGGGGTTGTCAAGACCCTGCTTGCCGCGCCGCTCAAGCTTTCCCTCTACGACAGGGACAAGCTAGACGCCGACGACCCGCTAGGCGAGGTGAAGTTGGACCTCTCAGGGTTAAAGACAGCGCACCTCATTGCGGTAACGGAGGATGTCATCTACAAGGGAGCAGCGTGCGGCAAGGCGCGCCCACCGGGGTCGGGACCGGGGAGGGCGGGAGGGGAGGGGCACGAGCTCACACGCCAGCCTGTGCCTTGCGCGCAGGTGCATCTTGTCATTTCTTGGTCCTCGGGAGACCAGCCCCCGTCCACGTCCCCCGTGCGGGTTGCTGCAGCCATCGCGGCCTCGGCGGCCTCTGCCGTAACCACCGCAACAAAGTCAGTCGCCGGCGCAGCAGTAGACGCGACGACATCCACTGCCTCGAAGGCCGTGGGCGCGTCCAAATCGCGTCAAAAGTCTTGAGACGCGCTCTGAGAGTGCGTCGGTCTCGGTGTACTCTTTCTGTAGTCGCTCTCTCTAATCGCGTATTGCCGAAAAAGCCTTCCTTTTTCTCACGCAGAAACCTGTGTTCAAAACCCGTGTTGTTTGCATATGGCGGTCCCCACGGGCCGAGTGTCCGTGTCCCTCGCGAGTCACCAATGTGAACGTTTTTTCTCCCACAGGGTTTTTTACCCTCCGCGGCGGTGAGGATCGGCGCGGCGAGGGGGTCTTGAATTCGCCGCGCATTCTGAGCAAAATTGAGCCCGCTCAGGTGTGAACAAAAAGTATAAGGGTCGACCAGGTTTCGAACTGGGGACCTTCCGCTAGCGGAAAGGCATCCAGCAAGGCACGCTGCGGTTGAAGGGAGGTCATCGGTTCGGAAACATATGTAGCATACCGGAGGAATTAGACACACAGATACGCACACACCGACGCCCGAAGTGCCAAGAAGGACGTCATTAGTACGAAACCTCAGAAGGCCATGGGCGCCGAGAGAACATTCCCCCGAGAGGACAAAAAGAAAAAAGGCTTCGCACCCCCTCCTTGCGCAGTGACTCCAGTCCCTCCGCCCTGCGCCGCGGCCGCGGGGGGCTCATTCGAGAGGGTCCCCAGCGCAATCACCATACCGGCGACGCAACCGGTGAGCACTGCAAACATGGCCAGTGTCGGTGGGCCTCTGGGATTTTCCGGGGCGTGTGTTGATTTGCGGCTTCTCCTGGAAGAGCGTCGCGCCGGCGCAGCTGCCGAGTCGGGGTTGGCTGGCGGCCTGAGCGGCTCGGGCTCCTGCGACGATGACGACGGGCCGGCGGCCGCGTACTCCACGAGCTCAGCCATATTTCGTGTGCCGCCGAGAACCTCCAGTCCACAAGTTTTGCCGATCTGGCGATTCGGGACGGACGTAATCTCTCTAATCGTACGAGTCGGGCCGACGACTTCCGTAGTTCCGTTTTCACGCAGAAGGCCTTTATCTGTGCCCCACTCGATCGCCATCTATGAGACCCCCCCCCCCCCGCCCAATACACCCACACCCTCCCACACCCTCCCACAGACAAACTGATTTATCCCGCGGAGCGCGCGGGCGGATACCGGTCGCCCCCCCGGCATCCAGATTTGTGACGGCGATCGCCAAGGGCCTTCCCCGAAGTTTCGATTCATCAAGAGTTGTTCACTGTGGAACGAGGGAACCCAGGTGTTCGCCGCCGCTCATTTGGAGCTCGCTCTCCAGGAGCTTCGATGCTGGCTGCCACGCTCACGGCGGCTCTCGGCTTCTCGCCGGGTGTGACGCGCCTGCCGAACGGCTTCGCCGGTGCGCCGCGAGCCCGACCACAGCACAGACGCGCCATCGCGCCGCGCAGATAGACAAAACTCGCTGCAACTCACACACGTCACACGAAACACCCTTCCAGATCCACCTCTAACACCGCATCTAAAACACAAAGAGTCTCCTTGCGACTCTCACTCTCTGTAGTCCACGCGTCACACCACGCATGCACGTTCGGCTGCAACAGCCACAACGCATGGTGCATGCCTAGAAGAGTCGCACGATTACCGCCCCTGCGAAACGTTGACGTCGAGCACTGCTCCACACTTGGCGCAGTCCGCAACAGCCTATCGTATACACGGCGCGAATCTCAGAAGATGCGAAGCAGGGACGTGGGGGGGTCGGGTGAGTGGTGGGGAGGGGTGGTGTGAAAGGGGGGAGGGGGGCCGCTCTCCCTCGACACCTCGCACCCCCTCCTGGCACAAAAGACGGGCGCCGGGGCGCTTCTCCTGTCCGGCGGCTTCTCGAACACAACATCCCCGGCTGGCGCCGTGCCGCCCCTGTCGATGGCCACGTCGGACGGACTCGCCGCCGCCCACGAAGGCTCCTACTCCCCCCTCCTCGTCCCGACGGACGAGCCCCGACTCCGGAGACCTCGCGAGGAAGGAAAGAGGGCGGTCCGCCGGCCCGCCCGC